TTTTTCCCATCAAAGGAGAGAATGGTGCTGCCTTGCTGGTGGCTGAGGGCTGCTGTGGAAGCCACTATCTCAACTCCTCCTGGAACACCACCTCCGAACTGGTTTGCTGCTTCGAAGATATTAGCAATCCCTCCCTTGTACTGGCGGCAGAAGCTGCCGCTGATGATGCGACGCAAAACCCCTCCAACTGCAATCGGCCGTTTTTTCTCTCCCAGCGCTGAAAGGTTGGCACTGGTGTGGAGGTTCCAAAAGAAATCCGGAAGCTCGTCTCCGTAGTAGAAGACTTTAAAGCTGAAGTCCGCCAAGGTTTCAGTAAAAAAATCACTCATCCCACCAGCTTGGAGATACGAAAAACGAAGACCATCAGGCCCCGGAGCACTCTGAGGGTTGGCTTTCTTTACCGTCTGCTTGATGAACTTGATTTCGAATGGTTCATCAGCTTCGGCGACGGAGTCGATCTTGTGCGTTTTTATACGATCTCCCGCAGCTTTGATGCTGGAATCCCACGCAGTAGCAATATCGTCAGGATCTTCGTTAGGGTGTAGGTTGCGAAGATGATCCAGCGTGTCGTTGTTGCGCGGTGAGGGCGCTGGGGAGATTAAGGCACTGGCAGCTTTCGTGATGCCTCCTTTTTCATGCGCAAGTCTTGTGGCTTTTCGTTGGCGATTGTTTTCAGTATCTGCATAATACTGAAGTCGACGATTCTTCTCGTACATCGTGAGCCAGGCGATAGATTCACTCAGATCACCATTTGCAAAGCGGTTAAATCGGGATACCCTGTTCATCCTTCCATCAGTCGATCCATGCAATGCTGGGGTAAGATGAAGCAACTTTGTTGCTCGGACAAGTTGGAGTTGTCTTTCAACACGTGCTACTTCATATCTTTCCGCTGCAAGAGGAGACAGATCTGAGGTATCTGACTTCTGCTGATCTATGTGTACAGCTCCAAGTGCTTGCACGAAGAGGATGACGACATGTTGGAAGTGTTTGCAAAATACTTTCGCCAGTTGCGGATCGACGTGTTTGACGGAAAAAATGACGG